TTGCACATGAGCTACACATGGATCTTTCTTTTTTACAAGTAAAAAAATAAAAAAATATTTTACAAGTCATATTGTATTTTAATAAAATTATAAAAATATCTTTAATAAAATTATTTATTATATTTTTTATGAAAGATACTTTATTAATTTCATGGCTTGGACTGTATTTTTTAATTTACAATTTTATTTATAAAATATGAATCTCATAAAAATTACATATACCATCAACCTTACCCTAGTCGATAAAAAAACAACAACAACAAAAAAGGGAAAAAAAAGAAAAGAAAAAGAAAAGAAGAAACGTATTTGAGAAGATTTTGACTTGGGTTGACAAATTAAAGTCTGTCACAGCAATTTCCAAAGGAGATGAGGGAAAAGGCAACACCTTTTCTTTTGGACCCATCATTTGCCCTGCCTTTCCCCTTACAGTGGGTTTTAATGGGACTTATCCGTATAACTTTGACATATATTACTAAATAAAAGGAAAAGATGAACGATCCGTTTCGATCCAATAATGTAAACTTTGAGTTTATGTTGTACATTTTATGTGGATTACGTATTTAAGTTTTACGGGTTTTTTTTTTATTTAATACATATAAATAATTTTAATCGCATAACAAAAATTTAAAGAAAAAGATGAATTTCATCTGTTAAATAAAGTTTACTCGGTGAATTATTGTTGTATAAAATAAACAAAAAAAAAAAGGGTACATGTCTACATAGACTAAAAATCTTACTATAAATTTCCTTTCCATTTTGTTCAGAAAAACAAAGTCTTATAAATTTAAAATGAAATTGTTTTATATGTGCATATGGGTTTTTAAATAGATTTATAATAGGGGTATGATTAAGTCCTTTACTACTAAATTAAAACAATTTGAAAAAAAAACAACGATTTAAATAATTTAATAATTATTTTATTTTGTTAAAAATAAAAAATTTTAAATTTAAATTGCATGACATACGAGTATAATGAGATAAAAAATAAAAAATAATTACGTCCCATTATATAATTAAAGCAAAATAAAATAAAAACTATTTGAAAAAAATTATTATAATAGAGCATATCCCGCATAAATTGTATTATTTTTAATTATTAAAGAAGTAAAAAAT